CGCCCTATTGCAAAAACCTCTCCAAAAAAAAAAGAAAATATTCATTTAAATTTGCCAGCAAACTACAGCATCCCCCTTGACATTCTTTTCTTTTCTTTTCTTTTTTTTGAGAGAGTTTTGCTATAGGGCACATGCGCTTGCCAGAGAGACAGAGGGTGAGAAATCACCTCTGGGGGGTGCGGGTTGGCCACACAATCCCTTCTCCTCCATTCTCCTCTCGGGATTTTTGGGCACACACGCCGGCATGAGTTTTGTTAAACTGCCAGGTCCAGGACTCAAACCACGGTGGACTACATGGGAGTTCAGGGGCATAGCCATTACACCATTTGCTGGCTCCGGCCCCCCTTTGATATTCTAAGGGTGGTCCCTGATTTGGGGTAAGTGGGGCTCCCTAGAAAAAAAAAATCTCAACTTGAACCAGGCCTTTTCCCCTCACACACACCTGCGGGAGGCACCTGGGTTCATTAAGGCTGCAGGAAGTGGGGGGTTGGGGTGGGGGGTGGATACAACCCCCAAGTCGGAGTCGGGGAGGTGAGAACACAAACCATCCACCTGGGCCTTCCTCACAGTGTCGGCCACATTACGGGGTGTCAGTTGATATCCAGGGTGTGCCATGCCATCAGTTTGAGCTCTGGTGGGCAGGAGAGGCAGGTAAGCAGGGGTATCAAGACCTACACCTCCACAAGCAGGACCCCAACACTGTCACAGTCCATCTGCCCACAGCACCTACCACACCCGACCCATGTCCACAAACAGAAACGACAACAGCAAATTACACAACCCGGCCATCGTGTTCCTCCAAGCCAGCCCCCAAAGCCTCCCTTAGAAGGGACAGCTCCGGACCCCCCAAAGGCACAGCCGGAGACATGGACACGGGGTGTCCAGGTGGGAGAAGCCCAGGTCTTCACCCTGGGGCACTGCAGCCTCCCGCTGGCTGTGGGCCGTTGCTCCATTTCCGTTTTCAGTTAAGATTTGCAAAGACCTTGCTTAACACACAGGCCTCCAGGGGGCCCCCCCAGCCGAGGGCTTATTCTTGGCAGAAAGCCCAGGAGTGAGAATCCTAGGGGTTGGGGACGCCTCTGTCCCACCTGAAGTGGCCCAAAGCTCTGGAAGTCAATTCAGGATCCCAGACGCGGTGGATAAACCGACACGGTGGCGGGGTCTTGGGAGACGTGGATTGTGGAGCCTGAAATCACTTTGGGGGTTCCCTGAAGCTCCCCGACCTGTCTTCAATGGGAAACGCTGTTTTAATACTGCTTTTGCGAGTGCAGGGTCTTCGGGCCACCAGAGAGGGGCCTTCAGGGGTGCAAACTGCCATTGCATCTTGGAGCGTGGTGTCCGGGATGCACCATGAGGCAGGTGTAGGGTCCAGCCTGGGGCACCCGAACTAGAGCAGCCACCTCCACATCTCGCGAGATTATCTCCGAGAGCCAGGCAGCATGTGTGAGAACACTCCTCAGCGAGCTCGTGGACTTCAGGGGTGCAAACTGCCATTGCATCTTGGAGTGTGGTGTCCGGGACGCCCATGAGGCAGGTGTAGGGTCCAGCCTGGAAATCACTTTGGGGGTTCCCTGAAGCTCCCCGACCTGTCTTCAATGGGAAACGCTGTTTTAATACTGCTTTTGCGAGTGCAGGGTCTTCGGGCCACCAGAGAGGGGCCTTCAGGGGTGCAAACTGCCATTGCATCTTGGAGCGTGGTGTCCGGGATGCACCATGAGGCAGGTGTAGGGTCCAGCCTGGGGCACCCGAACTAGAGCAGCCACCTCCACATCTCGCGAGATTATCTCCGAGAGCCAGGCAGCATGTGTGAGAACACTCCTCAGCGAGCTCGTGGACACCCGGCAATGCCCAACACAGACGAGCCCCGGAAAGTGGTTCTAACCCAGAAGGCACCGTGGATGTCCCTGGGCGCGGGGGCCATGCTGCCTGCCCACCCGAATGGAACCCTGAAAAGCAGCAAACCGTGCAAGTCCATGCCCTGGGGACCCTGTCTGCAATGCACAGTGGAACCCTCAGGGTCTGCAGCCTCCGACGTGACGGCGAACCATGCAGGAACGGGGGTACAGCTGATGAGAGGGGAAGGGGTGCCCTGAGCTTGGAGACAGGCCAGCGGCTGTTGCCTCGCTCACAGTCCCTGCAGACGCTGGAGGGGGTGGGCGGGGCTCCAGGCCTCTCTAGCAGCTGCACGTGCTGGGCTGGGGGGCCGGGGCGTCCCCCAGGGCTGGGCCTTTGGCGTTGCTGCCTGGGCTGGAGGCAGGTTCCAGGGACTCGTTCATCTTCTCGCAGATGACATCCACCAGGCGCTCAAAGACCTGCTTCACGTTGATGTTCTCTTTGGCGCTGGCCTCGAAGAACTCAAAACCTGGATGGACGTGAGGTGGGGACATCTGTGAGACCTCCCCCCACCCCCACTCCTCACAAGGGACAGAGCCTGGGTTGTGGCATCCCGCACGCGTGGATTCCTGGATGCCGCGGTGTGGCCTGGGCAGGTGTGGCCCCGGGCGGAGGCGCTGAGCCTCTCTGAGCCTCCGTTTGCTCATCTGTAAATCGGGACCGGTGAGGATGCTGATGATAAAACTCTGAGGCTGGGCCAGGCCGGTAGCCTAGGAGTTAAGGACTTAGATCCCACATGGCTGGTTCAAGTCCCAGCCCCGACAGCTTGAAACACACACCAGGTACGTGTGTGCGCGTGCCCCTATTCCTGATAGGATGGAGAAATGCAGAAGGGACCACGGTGTGGTGACACCCTGCTGGAGGGGACTTTCTCTCTGCTAAGTCCATGGGCCAATTCTCACATGGCTGGCCAATTCTGCAGTTCAAGTCCCAGACCCAGCAGTTTGAAAATCATGCCAGGCACAGGTGTGCATTCGCATGTGTGCCCCAAATCCCGAGAATGGAGGAGAAGACGCTGCAGCGTGGCCATTCCCCCAAGGGATAATTTGTCATTCTCTCCCCCCCCTCTCTCTCCTGAATGCACACTCTATAGCAAAAAAAACATTAAAAAAAATAATGGTTGAAACCAACAGGTGGTGTGGTGGTTAAGGCACTGGACACTCCCACATGGCTGACCACAGTTTGAGTCCCGGACCTGGTGGCTTGCTTTCTCACTTTCCTTCTTTCTGTATGTCTGTCTTTCTCTGGTCAAATGAAAATGAATGAATGAATAAATAGTAGTAAATAATTCTTGAAATAATAATAATAATAATGGGACCGGCAGGTAGCATGGTGGTTAAGGGTGCTGGATTCCCACACGGCCGACTGCAGTTCAAGTCCCAGACCTGGTGGCTTGCTTTTTCACTATCCCTCTCTCTTTCTCTCTCACTCTGTCCGTCTCTGGTCAAATTAAAATAAGTAAATAAATAAATGAAGTTAAATAAAATAATTCTAAAAATAATAGTGATAACAAGCATGGGACCAGCAGTTGGCGTAATGGCTACGTTGCTGGACTCCCATGTAGTTGACCGTGGTTCAAGTCCTGGACCCGGTGGCTTAAACTCACGCTGGGCGCGTGTGCGTGCGTGCCCAAGATCCCGAGAGGAGAATGGAGGAGAAGGGATTGCGGCGTGGCCATCCTTCGCGCTTTCTTGCTCTCTGGCTTTCTGGTGAGGGTACGTGCCATAGAACAAAAACCTCTCCAAAAAAAAAAAAAGTTCATGGAGCAGGGCTGGCAGGTGGCATGGTGGTTAAAGGTCATGGATTCCCACATGGTCGACCATGGTTTGAGTCCCAGACCTGGTGGCTTTCTCTCTCACTCTCTCTCTGTCCCTCTCTGGTCAAATTAAAACCACAGGCCACCTGCTGTGCCCTCCGTTTTAAAAAAATTCACCAGCAGGCACTTGTGGTCACAGAGAGAAACAGAAAGAAAGAGAAGGGAAGTGAGAGCGCGCTCTCCATGGGGAGTGGTCACACGGTAATCCCTGCTCCATTTCCCCCTCCTCTTGGAAGTTTGGGCATGCTTGTACACAAAGTCTAGCATGTATCTCAAGCTGCCGGGTCCAGGACTTGAACCATAAGGTTGCCACAAGGGATCCAGCTCCTTTCCCCACCACACCATGGCTGGCTCTTCATGAGTTTTGTGAAGGCTGCTCGTACAGCACAAAGATCTTGCTATATAGAACAGAAAGAACACCCGCACCCTTTTTCATGGCTGTATAGTACTCCACCGAATGCAAACCATTTCTGTTCACTGCTCTCTGCTGTAACATATTTAAGGGGGTTCCAAATTTTCACTAAAACTACTGCAACATGGTACACTACATACATGCCACTTCCTGCCTGCGACAGTGGGGCTGTAAGATAACTTTCCTGCAAGTAGAAATGGTTCCTTTTGAACCACTGGTTTTGCTGGGTTCCCAGGGAACGAGCACTGGAATTTGGCAGAGAAGAGGCACCCACATGGGTCTTTTTCTGGGCAGATCCTCAAAAGGTTGGGGACTGTGGTTGGACCAGGGACCTGAGGATGGGGACAGGGCTTTGGTTCTGGGAGACGCGGGGCCTGCAGCCCACGCCATGCACTAACCGAGGTCATCGGCGAGCCTCCGGCCGTCCTCGGTGGGCACAACCCGCTCGTCCTCCAGGTCACACTTGTTCCCCACGAGGATGACCTGGGCGTTGTCCCAGGAGTAGGTCTTGATCTGCGTGGCCCTGTGGAGGTGGAGGCCGTGAGTCGGAGGTTGGGGGGTCAGGGAGAAGGCAGAGGTCAGAGGTCAGGGGTCGGCAGGCACTCACCAGTCCTGCACGGCGGCGAAGGACTCCTGGTTGGCCACGTCGTACATCTGGCGCCCCGGTAGTAGGCTGTGGTGATGGTGCGGTAGCGCTCCTGGCCCGCCGTGTCCTGGGTGGACAGTGCGGTCAGCTGGCTGGAAGCCACGTTGTTCTCACCCCACTCTAGGCCCTGCCTGAGCAGGGTACCTGCCCTGCCCACACAGCCTCTAGTCTGATGGGGAGGACATGGACTGCCTGCACAGCCTCTAGTCTGGGAGACGGGGTCCTGACCGCACAGCCTCTAGTCTGATGGGGGAGATGGGGTCCTGCCCGCACAGCCTCTGATCTGATGGGGAGGACATGGACCTGCCCTGCCCACACAGCCTCTAGTCTGATAGGGGAGACGACCTACCCTGCCCGCACAGCCTCTAGTCTGATGGAGGAGACCTGGACCTGCCTGCACAGCCTCTAGTCTGATAGGGAAGACATGGACCTGCCTGCACAGCCTCTAGTCTAGAGCGAGGACTGCCCCCTGCCCCCCCAGCCTCTAGTCTGATGGGGGAGACTTGGACCTGCCCACACAGCCTCTAGTCTAATGGAGGAGACCTAGCCCTGCCTGCACAGCCTCTAGTCTCATGGAGGAGACCTGGCCCTGCCTGCACAGCCTCTAGTCTGATGGAGGAGACCTGGCCCTGCCCGCACAGCCTCTAGTCTGATAGAGGAGATGTGAACCTACCCGCACAGCCTCTAGTGTGATGGGGGAGACTTGGACCTGACCACACAGCCTGTAGTATGATGGAGGAGACCTGGCCCTGCCCGCACAGCCTCTAGTCTGATAGGGAAGATGTGGACCTGCCTGCACAGCCTCTAGTCTGATGGGGGAGACCTGGCTCTGCCCGTACAGCCTCTCGTCTGATGGGGAAGACTTGGACCTGACCAGTAGTATGATGGAGGAGACCTGGCGACCCTGCCTGCCCCGCACAGCCTCTAGTCTGATAGGGAAGATGTGGACCTGCCTGCACAGCCTCTAGTCTGATGGGGGAGACCTGGACCTACCCTCACAGTCTCTAGTCTGATGGGGGAGACCTGGCCCCGCCCGCACAGCCTCTAGTCTGATGGGGGAGACCTGGCCCTGCCCGCACAGCCTCTAGTCTGATGGGGGAGACCTGGCCCTGCCCACACAGCCTCTAGTCTGATGGGGGAGACATGGACTCTCAAGGGAGCCCCCCCCGTCTGATGGGAGACATGGCCCTGCCTTGGAGGGGTTCCCAGTCCGCGGGGTCAGTGGCCTCTCACAGACCCCTGAGTCCCTCTGACCCATCTCGGGAACCACCTTGATGACCACAAACAAGAGTCACCTGGGCCTTAGGGGCTTGATGACACATGGGTTCTGGTTACCAGGGTCGTTTCCAGCCACTGCAGGACGGGGGTAGCCCTGAAGACCACATAGGCTCGACAGGGGTCCCCAGGCTCACCCCAAGCTGGTACCCAAATCTCTTCCCCTGGTTCCCAGCACTCAGGACCTGCCTTGGGTCCATTCGGACTCAAGGGACAGTAGTCTCCCAGTGGCCACCCAGGGCAGGCGTGTCCCCCTCGTCCTGCTCAGTTACCGCTCATGCCTCGCCCTCTCTGCAGACCCTCCCCACAGCCCTCACCCCCGTCCACGTCCCTGCAAGGAGGGCCCCGCCCCAGCCACAGGCCCACCCAGATCTGCAGCTTGATCCTCTTGTCATGGCGGTAGACGGTCTTGACCTTGAAGTCGATGCCCACGGTGCTCACGAAGGCGGGCGTGAAGGAGTCGTCGGCGTAGCGGAACAGGAAGGACGTCTTGCCCACGCTGCTGTTACCGATGAGCAGCAGCTTAAACATGTAGTCGAAGTTCTGGTCGGCCGCGTCCCGGGGGCCCGCAGGGGGGTCTCCAGCTGACGCCATCTTGGCAGGTGCCTCCGGGGGGGAGGCCTGAAATCCTCAGGTGGGCAGACTGGGCCCTGTTGGGGAATAAAACACTAGGTGCAGCTCTACCGGATACCTCGGCCCTGGGTTCAAATCCCGGCTCTGCCATGGACGCCTTCTTGCTCTCTATGGACCTCAATGGTGTCTTCTGGAAAATGGGATGGCTGTCATTATCCCTACCTGAAAGAGTAATTTGTTGAGTGCCTAAATGAATTTTTTCTTCTTTTTCTTTTTTTTTTTTTTTTTTAGGTTTTTGCCATTGGGTGCCTGCACTCACCAGAGAGAGACAGAGACAGTGAGAGGAAAAGAGAGAAATCACCCCACTGGGGATGGCCATGCTGCAATCCTTTCTACTCCACTGTCTTCCTGGGAACTTAGGCACGCACACACAAGCGCCCAGAGTGACTTTTTTTTTTTTCCTTTTTTTGGTTTTTATTAGAGATATTTCTGCTATAGGTGCGTGTGTTTGCTGGAGAGACAGAAAGCAAGAAATCATGATCCCTCGGGGGGAGGGGAAGGGGAAGGGATTTTGGGTATGCACGCACACCTGCCTGGTGTGAGTTTCAAGCTGTTGGGTCCGGGACTCGAACCGCGGTAGACTACATGGGAGTCTAGCAATGTAACCATTACACATGCACTGGTCCCTCCCAGCATAATTTTCAAGTTGCCAGGTCCAGGGCTCAAAAAGCAGTCGGCCATGTGAGAGTCTAGCATCTTAACCACCTTGCCACCTGTTGGCCCCTGAAATAATTTTTTTGAAGTTTATTCATGGGGCCAGCAGGTGCCACAGTGGTTAAGGCAATGGACTCCCACATAGGTACCCATGGTTCAAGTCCCAGACCTGGCAGCTTGCTTTCTTGCTTTTCCCATCTCTTTCTTCGTCTCTGTCTCTCTCTGGTGAGTGCACATGCCCTATAGCAAAATTTTTAAAAATTAAGATTAAATAAAAGAGCTGGCAGGTGGTGTGGTGGTTAAGGTACTAGACTCCCACACGGCAGACTGTGGTTCAAGTCCCAGACCTGGTAGCTTCTCTCTCTCTCTCTCTGTCCCACTCTGGTCAAATTAAAAAAATAAGTAAATAAGTTAATCAATTAAAAATAATTATAATAAATAAAGTTAAATAAAATAATTCTTTAAAAAAATACACATACCAATCATAAAACTATGCCGGGTATACACTTGGCCTTCCATAAATGTGACTGTTATTAAATCTTCACACCCTCTGGGACAAGCAGTTGGAGTAATGCTTATGTCCCTGGATTCCCACATAGGCCACCACGGTTCGAGTCCCGGATCCAGTGGCTTAAACTCACGCCGGGCACGTGTGCATGCATGCCCAAGATCCCGAGAGGAGGATGGAGAAGGGATTGCGGCGTGGCCATCTCCCTGGGGAGTGATTTCTCGCTTTCTGTTTCTCTGTCTCTGTCTGGCAAGCACACGCGCCCTACAGCAAAAACCTCTCAAAAAAAAAAAAAACAACTTCACACCCTCTGGCAAATTAAGTCTTTGTCACAGGGGTTTCAGGGTTGGAGGCGATTCAGAAGCCTCTAATGTAGGGACCAGCAGTTAGTGTAATGGCTATGTCGCTGGTATCCCATGTAGTCGACCGCGGTTCATGTCCCGGACCCGGTGGCTTAAAAAACACACCGGGCGCGTGTGCGTGCCCAAGATCCCGGAAGGAGAATGGAGGAGAAGGGATTGCGACGAGGCCATCCCTTCTGAGGGGTGATTTCTCGCTTTCTGTCTCTCGCAACAACACACCCAGATGAAAAACCCTTCAAAAAAAAAAAAAAAAAAAAAAAAAAAGAAGCCTCTAATGTAGGACCGCATTGGGGAGGAACTGCATCCTGCAGAAGGTGCAGGTGTGGACTTCGCCCTCGGTGAGCAGCTGGTGTGGCCCAGGTGTGAGCTGGAGGGGGGGCTGGCAGCTGGAGAGAGCCACCCCCTCAGGGCCTGTATTGACTTTGGCAGGTGTCTGCCACTGTAAGTGGGGGGGCCGCCCTGCCCCCACCCCAGCCCAGTTTAACCCCTTCCCTGCTCCCCAGGGCAGAACCCTGAGGGGGTCTGTGGCTACAGCCAGGTTTCCCTGGAAGCCCACTTCCCCCTCAAGCAATGTGTCATTTTCTATTTGTCAAAGGGGCTGGACGTGTCTCCCTCCAGGTAAGGCTGATCCACCCAGTCCCAGGAGGAAGCAGAGAAAGTCCTCAAACCCCAGGACCCATCCCAAACACCCGAAATATCCCAAAGCCTGCCCCTTCCACCTTCCTGTCCTAACCCGGCCCTGGTTGCGCTGCCCACTCTGCCTGCACCCCATCACTCCCTCCCTAAGCCTCAGTTTCCCCAGCTGTGGAGGGCTGCTCCCCCATCCTGTGCACGAGGACACCCCAGAAATTCTGCATGAATGGAGGGAACCCAGGCAGAGGAAGCCCTAGAGAAAGTATTTCTCAACCTCCTTTGGGCACTTTTCCTTTTTCAACGAGGACCTAAGCGGGCCCCACCCCGTGTTCCGGGAGAACGGGTTTGGGGAGGGGAAGAGGCAGGAAACCTACCCTCACCTAGACAGCGCTGCCAGGGGGTCCCCGCCCCACCTCTGGCTGTCAGCCGGTCCCACGGCTTCCGGAAGATCAGCTGACCCTCCCTCACGCCTGGCACTAGTAAGGGTCCCCCTCCACTGGATTTGGGACACCTGCCCCCATCACCATATGGTCCCGCCGCCTGGCCCCAGCTGGGCTCTCAGGCCTGCCCACGCCCCATTAGCGCTCGAGGACTAGCCCAGCTGGGTGGGGGCGAGAGCAGAGGCGTCCGCGCAGTCCTGCCTTTGTTCCCCGACCCCGACCTTCCCCCTACACCCTTGCACCCCGGATCTGCTGCAACGCGGAGGTGCGAGGCAGCGCACGCTCCCTCCGAGGGGGTCACCTCACGTGGGGGGCGCTGCTCGCCAAGGTTCCGCCTCCGAAGTCACGACTGCCTGGCCCCGGCCGCGACCCCCGCCGCCGCCGCCGCCGCCACCGCGGCCAGCCGCCACCCCGACACCCTTTTTTTTTTAAGACCAGGGGCGTGGTCAAGCCCGGGCGGGGCTTGCAGGAAAGGTGGGCGGGGCTAGAGAGAGCACCGCAGGCCTAGAGAGCCCATTCCTATCAAATATTTTTTGCCCTCCGAATTATATGTAAAGAGCTCCTAGTATGGGCCCACTGGTTAAGAGAGCGGACATGCGCTTGGTTCAAATCTTTCCTCCACTAGTTTCTTTTTTTTTTTTTAAGAGTTATTTTATTTAACTTTCTTTAAATTTGACCAGAGAGAGATGGGGGTGGGGGGGGCGGTGGGGGAAGGAAAGTAAGAAAGCAAGCCATCAGGTCCCGGACTTGAACCATGCTTGGCCATATGAGAGGGTCCAG